ACACACACACACACACACACACACACACACACACACACACACACACAGGATGAGAGAGGTGGATTGAATCATAGTTTTAACACTCGGAGAGCTTACAGCCTCTGTACTTATTGTGTTATCAGAGTCAGAAGAACTACTCGGACAGAACAGGGTATGTGACTTCCACAGTTTTCTTGACTAGTTATATTCATTTAAGTGTTTTTTTTGTAAATAAATCTTAAGACCAAAACGACCAATTAAAATCGACTAAGGAGGAGTATTTAAGGGGTATTTTTAGCTTAATGCTTTCTTTTAAGGGGGACCCCCAACGTGTCGGCTTACCTTGTTTGGGTTTGCCAGCAGCAGGATCTGTGTGACGGCAGCAGGGGGAAGGATGGGGTTGAAAGCTGGGAGCTCCGTTCCTGATGGGGGCTGAAGCTTCACTGCCATAGACTACAGTTGACAAATGAAAACAAACATTCTTACTCGGACAGTAAATCGGTTGCAGTGGTTCAGTTTTCACAAGATTAACCGTGTGTGTGTGTGTGTGTATAGTCTGATGGGAGGCGAAGGCCTTGAACTTTCTTGCTGCTGACCTTCGGAGCCGTGGTCTGGAAGTCGATGTTGCCGACGGGGACGGGAGCGGATGACAACATGGAGATGATCACCACCAGCACGTCAGGCCGAGAGGGAGGTGAGTCCTGAGCAAAGTGAAAGAGAACCCGCAGACTGTGTCCGTCAAACACAGTCACAGGTAACAGACTACCTGGAGAGAGGAGGAGGAGGAGGAGGAGGAGGAGAGTATATCATCTGGTCTTCCAGGTCGGGAGACACATTCGGCCATTAAGGTTCACTTACTGGGCTTAATGGATTCTAGCGGTACAAAAACATCAGTCAGGGGGATGTCTGCAGGCGGCGTCTCGCTGTGAGTCGGGGACATATCCAGCAACGTGGCTGCAAGGCGGGGCTGAGAGTTGGCGAGAGGTGCGGGCGGTTCAGCGGCGAAGGTTGGTATGGGGTTTGGGGTGATGTTGCACCCAGACTTGCTCTGGAGATCCCTCAGAGTTGGTTTGCACTGCTGCTTGTCCCTGAAAGCAGATAAAGGAACAATTCAATCAATCGTCTGAGGAGCATTTTGAGTCAGAGGTAATGTTCGAGTGGTGTCAGTTAAATACCATTTGACCTGCAGGCCCTCTGGAGGCAGGGACTGCTGCATCAGCGTCTTGCCCAGCTGGTCCAGCTGGTCCAGAGCGGAGTTCCCGGGTGTGGAGCCAGACGAGAGGGGCTGAGAGTAGGAGGGGGGGTCTGGACTCAGGAGGAGACTGGGTGCTGCTGGGATGTCTGCGTCTATGCTGTCAGAGGACTGGAAGTAGAAAGCATGAGAGAAACAGTGGTTTAGATGTCTTGATGATACCGGAGCTGTATTGAAAGCGCTGATGCCTGTTAAGATGATTTTTAGTTAAAGTTGTGTGTTTGACGGATGAATAATAATAAACCTGGAAGGAGTCCCAGGCGGTGGAGTCCTCGGGCTGCGAGGGAGGGTTGGAGGTGTGTGTTCCTTCACTTAAACCTGTGGGATGCACAAAGAGTGCCGCTATTTAGGACTGTGTTTCAACTCCGAGAGACATATCGGTGTGTGTGTGGTGTCTGACGTGCCGTTACCGAGTGACATGAGCTCGTCGTCCAGCAGACTCATCCCCATCTCTTGCGAAGGGGCGTTGAGGTTGTCTGTCGGAGTGGGGAACTCTGGGAAGGACGGAGGCGACGTGTCCAATCCTGACAGATCTAGCAGTGCCGTCCCTCCTCCTGTGAGGAACGGATTCGAGACAGTTTATTTCAAGCTGATAATTCTATAACCAATCGATTGATTACCCTTCCATATATTCCTGTGCTCAAGGCTTCACCCACCTGTTGTCCTCTGTGTGTTTAATGTGTTGTTGCCGTTCACTATCTCCCCCTTCACCTGCTGTTTGTACTGGTTGATGACCTGAGTCAGGCTGTCGTTCGCCTGCAGGATCTCAGCTGTGGAAAGACGGGAGAAAATGCTCTGCATTGGTTTCACAGTGTTGTGATATCAGTCATACGTGACGTCTCTTCTGCTGGGCAGGAGGTGGACTCATTTAAACATCTCGTTAGAGCCATTTCTAGCGAGCATTTATAACTTCGTATTGTTTTTATTTACCTCAATATAAATAGTATAGCAGCACCCAGTGGTGGTTTTGGTGCTAAACCAGTGCACAGCGTCACCTGACCTCACGTCTCTGGAAGCTATTATTGAAGGCAGGCGTGCTGACAATGAGGTGAAGAAGGTCTTCAACCGCTGCATGTTTTGGTTAGCTTGGTAGGACAAATTTGTTTATTTCGCCACTGATTTGAACCTTTTGTAAAGGCCGGTTTGTTTTGGGTTTTTGATTTTGTTTATGACGCTACAGTCAGCTAATCTCAACTCATCAACGTTGAGTCAAACGACCTCGGGACCACCTGAAACATCACGGGTCATCAAACAGTGAGTAACTTCAACAAACTAAATAACCGGACAGCGGGTTGATCATGTGTGTGTATTGTGCCGTCTGTGGGCGGCTACCAATTTAGCTTCGACGCCGCAATACAGTTTAAGTTAAGGGACAATGCTCAAAAGTATTACAAACGCAAACTTTCTCCAATCAGCCAACTGTAATCATCAAGGCTAGTTGATAATCTGTATTTTAGTCACATATGGTGTTTTTTCAATATTTTACAATCAATTGCAAATGGCAGAAAATAAAATGTCAGTCCTGGATACCAAAGACTGGGTTCAGTTGAACAAATGAACTGTGTGCATTTCGCGTGCTGCAGCAAATAAACAAGGGGTGATCATTCTGTTTTTTTTCTCTTGATGTTTAATGACCGATGAATGAGAAGAACGCTCACCCAGAGCCTCGTCGTTGTCCTCCGTATCACTTGCCAGTCTGAACAGTGTAGGTCTCATTTTCTCACAGCGCTGGTACAGGTCCTGATCACACAAAACAATATAGATATTATAGCCTTTTCCCTCCAAAGTAAACAATGAAAATGTCACAGTGGTTACTTCTTTCTATGTTACTTATTCAGTCTCTTTCAAACTCGACCAAGGCGGTAAAATAACGGTTTTCTGAATTGAGTCTGGTGGCTTTAAGAAGAGCATATTAATAGTTTTGTACGTTAATAAATTACAATAATGGAAAGGGGCTTTAAATACTTTAAAAACAGTCTTCTCGACAGTTAAATCTCCCTGATTGAAAGCATCTTTCACTTCACCTGTAGGAGTTCAGCGTTGCTCTGATTGTCGGCGGTGCCGTCATAGTCCTGCAGAAGCTGAGTCAGCAGAGCGACGCTCTCGTTCACCTCCTGGATGGCGTTCACCCTCTTCGACACCTTCTCTGCTCGCTTCTGGTCCTGCAACAGAAAAAAAAAAAAGAGAGAAGTTCACAAACGGCAAACAAACAAGTGTATGAAAATGATCATACATGAAGCCAGCTGCAGAAACATCAAATAAAAACACAGCAAGGTCAGAGAGAGGCCATTAAATAAAAAGTCTCGGGAGGACAAAGAGTTCATGTTACCCTGAAATCAGGACTGCTGAGTCATTCTGCCACCGACACACAAAACCCTCCAAAGCAACCGACCCCATTATCCTCACTCCGTTAATGTTCCCGCCCTGAGTGCAGCACTCTGATATTTTACTCATTTTCTTATAAAAACACACATGACTTTATCTGCAGGAGGTGCAGTTAATGTAGAACAGAAGAATGTGATGTATAAAAAAGGAGTAGGAGACGGGTTTACCTCTTGGACCATTTCCTTGATGAGTTTGTTGGCAGCTTTGAGGTCCTCGGGGTGCGAGCTATTCAACAGGCGAGACAGCGTCTGACAAAGCAGACAGCCAGAGATCCCGTGGTGAAAAATGAGTGAACAGGCTTCGTAGGTAATGACAGCATGCGCAGTGTTGTAAGAAAGTGGCTCAGGTCACATTTCAGGTCATGTTGGAAAGCATCTTTTCAAATAACTGTGATTATTAACAGACAAGTCCTCACCTTTGACTTCTCCTCATCCTCAAAGATGGCATTCTTGGGTCTGGGTGGAGGAAGGTTCAGCAGTTTGTCAGGTGGCAGCTCTGGGTCTTGTTTAATAATACCTGATTCACAAAAACAGAATATCAAAAAGAACGACGTTAAATGCTTCTAATTATTATATATCAATGTAATTTTTTTTTGCCATTATTATCAGTCATTTGTTTAAGATTAACCTTAAAAATGAACTTTACATTAATCTGGTGACGTCTTACCTTGTTTCTTCAGCATCTGATAGGCGTCTGAGATCTTGGCCTCATCAGGTAACCCCAACGTCCAGCTAAAGATCAACTCCAGAACCTTCTGTTTTACCGGCTCCGGTGACCGTGAGCCCAGGTACTGAGTGGAGCATTGAGGACAACAATGAGTGAATTACACACAACAGACGTGTAAGAATAAAGCGGAAAAACATAGACGCACTCAGAGAAACACTTGGGGGAAACCCTTACCTTCGGAGAAACTACTTTGATGAGTTCATTGAGAAAACGGAACTTGCCAACTTCGCTGTGAAACCTTTTCCCGCAGCTTTTCATACACGTCTCCAGAACCTAAGCAAGAATTAGGAATGCAAAAAAATGAAAACCTAACATGCACATGGGGGTTTTGGGGTGAGATCTGCTCAGAGTTCTTATCTTATAGCAATGAAACATCTTAGAATCAGAAAATGTACACGCCAAAATGTAAACAAATAAAATCACATGTGATTAGCTCACAGCTGATTCTGACTAATCTGATCCTGGTTCAGATCTGAACTCACCAGCAGGGCCTGCATGGCCTCCCACTCCTGTGGAGACTGGATCTTGTGGGCCAGGAGCCTGGTGGCAAGCTGAGGCCTGGAACACAAGTCACAAACAAAAGTGAATGTCCAGGGCACCTAAAGTACACATGCAGGTCCTGAATTAAATGTGTTCATTTGCATTGATGGTTCACTTTTAAGATGATGGATTTCATTGATTTCTAATTCAACAGGGAATCCTTCTTTGGTAGAACATCCGTCCACTACCACAGCTATGGTTTCCAGGATTTATAAACTTGAATCAACATCAACCAGACAAATTAAAAACCTCCTCTTACCCCTCCAAGTCATTGTTGAGCTGGTCACAGAAGGCGTGGATGCTGCCCCAGTCTGTGTCTCTGTTCAGTGGGTTTGTGGCTTTGTCTGAAATGTTAGCAAATGTGACGTTAGACAACAGAGGTGATCGATGTTACTTAAGCATTATTGAGTTATATCAATACTGTCATTCACAGTTATCTAGTGATTTCTTTCTGAATTGACTTAACATTATTGTGAAATTAACAGTGAACATCTCTACCTGTTCAGTTATAGTTTCTACAGTCAGCTGCCACTTTAGTAGGCACACCGACCAACAATTATTTTGTATAAAGTTTTTTGTGTCAAAATGTTATTGTAGATTCATTTTCCAATGTTATTGTAGATTTGAATCACCTCTAAATACAATACCCCAACAAAAACTGTATAGCCTACATGAGGGTGGAGGGTTTACTGCACAGCTTGTATATGACTGTCATGTTTGTATTATTTTAACTAGCAGTGGCTAAACTGGCAACTGAGTGCTTGTTGTTAATATGGGAGCTTCAATATTCATACCCAACATACCTTCACCTTATATATATACAGATGTCGAGTCAAAACGCTTTAGCTTTTCACTTAAAAAACGGTATCTTAGCACCTAAGGAAGTCGGTTAGGTAAAGTTAGAAAGATATTGACAGATTCGGACTTCCCGGTTCAATAAATCGTTAACGAAACGTTGCTAAAATACAAACGATACCTCCCTGTAACCGTAGTGAGGTAGACAACAAGCTACAACCTTAATTGAAGTCTTACGGACTCCTCCGAGCTGGACAATCTGCATTGGTCTCAATGAGCGGCCGGCTGCGAGACGAGTGCGCAGGGACCGTCTACAAAGTGCAATGCGGAAAATACCTACTACAACAATATTCAATAGCTTCACTGTCATGCAATGTAGTGTAACCAAAATCACTTCACACATCAATGGGCTCCTCCTTGTTGTACTACAACTGTTATTTTGAAAAAATATGATTTTGATTAATTTTAGTGAATATTTATTAAAAATAATAATCAATAGCTTTACTGTTGATAGGTGTAGCATGTCAAAAATCACTTCATACGTATATCAATGAGCTCCTTCCTGTAGTACTACAACTGCTATTTTAGTTTCACCAGACTTGTAGATGGTTATTTATAAATCAGCTCATGGCTGACTCATGGCATCTGCCCCTCAACCAATCAAATGATAGATGCCTAGGGTGACTAGGTCACTAACCAATCAGGAGCACCTTTCAATTAAGTTCTACCTGCAGTGATCTTTCAGTTTGTCAGTCTCCAATGCAAACCACGATGGGGAAAGACATCTTTCGATACCTAATGCGTTTGCCACATTTATTTTTCCTTTTTCACAATGTTGTTACAGCATGACAATATATGTGTATATCCTTTGTTGAAGATGAAATGAGTGAACTACTTATGATGGCTCTTATCTTGATGTATGTGGTACTATATTTTTATTCAAGACAAATACACAATACAAAACATAGGTTCACAACTGCACTAGTTTATTTATTTTATTTTATTAGTTTATTTGATAAGGGACAGTGCACACTAATATACACATTTCTGTAAATGCACCAGAGTTAGCCAAGAGGCTATTTTTCATCTGTAGTCCCAAGAGGCAGATGTTACAAAATAAACCTAAAAACAGAATGTAAGATTACATTTAAAAGGTTATACAATATTGACGCTTTACAATGCGTGCACAAATAATGAAAAAAGTGAGAATATTAATATACGTAGTATCATCATTCAGGAGACTCTTAAACATTGTCAAGTACTAACAAGACATGCAACACAGAGGCTCTCAAATTCAACACGCACAAGCAAATAAAGTAAGAGATAACTACAGGTGCATCTCAATGAATTAGAATATCATCGAAAAGTTAATTTATTTCAGTAATTCAATTCAAAAAGTGAAACCCATATATTATATAGATTCATTACACACAAGGTGATATATTTCATGCGTTTATTTCTTTTCATTTTGATGATTATGGCTTACAGCTAATGAAAACCCCAAATTCAGTATCTCACAAAATTAGAATATTACATAAGACAAATTAAAAAAAAGGATTTATAATACAGAAATGTTGGTCTCCTGAAAAGTATGTCCATATACAGTATGCACTCAACACTTGGTCGGGGCTCCTTTTTCATGAATTACTGCATCAATGCACCGTGGCACGGTGGCGATGAGCCTGTGGCCCTGCTGAGGTGTTATGGAAGCCCAGGTTGCTTTGATAGGGGCCTTCAGCTCGTCTGCATTGTTGGGTCTGATGTCTCTCATCTTCCTCTTGACAATACCCCATAGATTCTCTCTGGGGTTTAGGTCATTCAAGAATTTGGGGGAGATTCACAAGGAGTGGACTGCAGCTGGAGTCAATGCTTCAAGAGCCACCACACACAGACGTATCCGGGACTCGGGCTACAACTGTCGCATTCCTTGTGTCAAGCCACTCCTGAACCAGAGACAACGTCAGAAGCGTTTTACCTGGGCTAAGTTACCTGGACTAAGGAGAAAAAGGACTGTTCCTCAGTGGTCCAAAGTCCTCTTTTCAGATGAAAGTAAATTTTGCATTTCATTTGGAAATGAAGGTCCAGAGTCTGGAGGCAGAGTGGAGAGGCACACAATCCAAGTTGCTTGAGGTCCAGTGTGACGTTTCCACAGTCAGTGATGATTTGGGGAGCCATGTCATCTGCAGGTGTTGGTCCACTGTGTTTTATCAAGTTCAAAGTCAGCGCAGCCTTCTACCAGGAAATTTTAGAGCACTTCATGCTTCCCTCTACTGACAAGCTTTATGGAGATGCTGATTTCATTTTCCAGCAGGACTTGGCACCTGCCCACACTGCCAAAAGTACCAATACCTGGTTTAATGACCACGGTATCACTGTGCTTGATTGGCCAGCAAACTCGCCTGTCCTAAACCCCAGAAAGAGTCTATGGGGTATTGTCAAGAGGAAGATGAGACATCAGACCCAACAATGCAGACGAGCTGAAGGCCCCTATCAAAGCAACCTGGGCTTCCATAACACCTCAGCAGGGCCACAGGCTCATCGCCACCGTGCCACGGCGCATTGATGCAGTAATTCATGTAAAAGGAGCCCCGACCAAGTGTTGAGTGCATACTGTATATGGACATACTTTTCAGTAGACCAACATTTCTGTGTTAAAAATCCTTTTTTTTTTTTAATTGGTCTTATGTAATATTCTAATTTTGTGAGATACTGAATTTGGGGTTTTCATTAGCTGTAAGCCATAATCATCAAAATGAAAAGAAATAAACGCATGAAATATATCACCTTGTGTGTAATGAATCTATATAATATATGGGTTTCACTTTTTGAATTGAATTACTGAAATAAATTAACTTTTCGATGATATTCTAATTCATTGAGATGCACCTGTAGTTATCCATCCATCCATTTTCCTCCGCTTATCCGGGGGCAGGTCGCGGTGGCAACAGGCCAACCAGGCTGACCCAGACCTCCCTCTCACCGGCAACAAGTTCCAGCTCATTCTGGGGGATCCCGAGGCGTTCCCAGGCCAGCTGGGAGATGTAATCCCTCCAGCGTGTTCTGGGTCTTCCCCGGGGTCTCTTCCCAGTTGGACGTGCCTGGAAAACCTCCAGTGGGAGGTGTCCAGGAGGCATCCTAATTAGATGCCCGAACCACCTCAGCTGACTCCTTTCGACGCGAAGGAGTAGCGGCTCGACTCCAAGCTCCCTCCTGATGATCGAGCTCCTTACCCTATCTCTAAGGCTGAGCCCGGCCACCCTACGGAGGAAGCTCATTTCGGCCGCTTGTAGCTGTGACCTTGTCCTTTCGGTCACGACCCAGAATTCGTGACCATAGGTGAGGGTAGGAATGTAGACCGAGTGGTAAATTGAGAGCTTTGCCTTCCGGCTCAGCTCCCTCTTCACCAAGACGGTCCCGTGCAGCGCCTGCTTTACTGCTGCAGCCGCCTGTCGATCTCCCGCTCCATCTTACCCTCACTCGTGAACAAGACCCCGAGATACTTGAACTCCTTCGCTTGAGGTAGGCACTCCGTCCCCACCTGGAGGGAGCAATCCACCGGTTATTTCCTGTAGTTATCTCTTACTTTATTTGCTTGTGCGTGTTGAATTTGAGAGCCTCTGTGTTGCATGTCTTGTTAGTACTTGACAATGTTTAAGAGTCTCCTGAATGATGATACTACGTATATTAATATTCTCACTTTTTTCATTATTTGTGCACGCATTGTAAAGCGTCAATATTGTATAACCTTTTAAATGTAATCTTACATTCTGTTTTTAGGTTTATTTTGTAACATCTGCCTCTTGGGACTACAGATGAAAAATAGCCTCTTGGCTAACTCTGGTGCATTTACAGAAATGTGTATATTAGTGTGCACTGTCCCTTATCAAATAAACTAATAAAATAAAATAAATAAACTAGTGCAATTGTGAACCTATGTTTTGTATTGTGTATTTGTCTTGAATAAAAATATAGTACCACATACATCAAGATAAGAGCCATCATAAGTAGTTCACTCATTTCATCTTCAACAAAGGATATACACATATATTGTCATGCTGTATCAACATTGTGAAAAAGGAAAAATAAATGTGGCAAACGCATTAGGTATCGAAAGATGTCTTTCCCCATCGTGGTTTGCATTGGAGACTGACAAACTGAAAGATCACTGCAGGTAGAACTTAATTGAAAGGTGCTCCTGATTGGTTAGTGACCTAGTCACCCTAGGCATCTATCATTTGATTGGTTGAGGGGCAGATGCCATGAGGCAGCCATGAGCTGATTTATAAATAACCATCTACAAGTCTGGTGAAACTAAAATAGCAGTTGTAGTACTACAGGAAGGAGCTCATTGATATACGTATGAAGTGATTTTTGACATGCTACACCTATCAACAGTAAAGCTATTGATTATTATTTAAATAGTCACTAAAATGAATCTAAATCATATTTTTTTCAAAATAGCAGTTGTAGTACAACAAGGAGGAGCCCATTGATGTGTGAAGTGATTTTGGTTACACTACATTGCATGACAGTGAAGCTATTGAATATTGTTGTAGTAGGTATTTTCCGCATTGCACTTTGTAGACGGTCCCTGCGCACTCGTCTCGCAGCCGGCCGCTCATTGAGACCAATGCAGATTGTCCAGCTCGGAGGAGTCCGTAAAACGGCCCGTTTTAATTCAATTAAGGTTGTAGCTTGTCTACCTCACTACGGTTACAGGGAGGTATCGTTTGTATTTTAGCAACGTTTCGTTAACGATTTATTGAACCGGGAAGTCCGAATCTGTCAATATCTTTCTAACTTTACCTAAGTAAGGAAGTCCTAGTGACACCATGATTTAAAATGCATTAAGTCTCAAAACCCCAGCATGCCACCGCGCAGATAAACACAGGGACGGTGCACAAGTTTGCTGCACTTATTGTATTCGTTTGTTTCTGCACTGTACTTTGGCTCTGGTTTATGCTCTTAGATGCTTGTTTAAAAAAGGAGATGCACTTATGACTTCTGGTGACTAGTAGTTATCTTGAATACCTATGTTGAGTACACTTATTGTAAGTCGCTTTAGATAAAAGCGTCTGCTAACGTTAAATGACTGTAATGTAATGTGCTAGCAGAGTATCGCGTTAGCTAGCTTGCTGTCGGTGGTCGCACCGTGTCATCGTCTCGTCTAGAACTTTCTTACGAGGCCATCGCTTTGCCGTAATCATAATCTAACCTATGTGACTAAAAATGGACCCCCCCCCCTGTGATCTCGTCGCCCACTAACTAGTTGAGCTATCGAGCCGCAGAGCTAAAGCTCCGCCTGTCTGTATCGTGTGTTGACAGGTAGCAGGCACCGCCGCTCCGGAGCTAGGTTAGCATCCTGGACGTGGCGACAGGGTCCGAGTCCGCTCTGCTGGGACACGCGCGGCTCTGCAGAGCTGTCATCTCATCTACAACAACTCGCGGATAATAATTCGTATGTGTGCGGCTCTCCGGACGATACCTGCTCGGTACAATAAGTTTAAAACACTCACTGATAAGAGACTCCAAACTCTCCGTGTCGGGCGGCGCAGCCATCACGGCGAGATTTATGTGATGCGTCGGTCTCGCGAGGGACACGCATGCACGTAGAGGTAGAAGAGACACAGCACTGGAGTGCATAGAAGAGACGTTTGAACATTAGAAACAGTAGTGCAGTGTCTGTTGAAAACATGGCTGTGCATCATTGTGTATTATTATTTTGTGTATAATATGCCAAGTCAACGCCAATGACCAAATATTGCATTTTAGCCCCAAATTTGACTATTTGTTGTTTTATTCATAAGTGTAAATAGGGCCATAATAATAATAACCATTCTAGCTAATTCATTTCTATGATCAGAGAGCTGAGTCAAGCGCACAGACGGAGCCATACCGGAGTAAAATTCTTTCAAAATTAAAGCACGCCATTTGGGTTCTTTTAGATTTAGGTTTGACCAGAAATACTTGTTGTCGAAACCTCACAAAATAATATTGTAGCCTAAAGCGGATTTGTTTACATCAAGAGATCTATTCATTGATCATTATTAGAAAGATCTGAACAGAAGGATTGAAAAAAACAAATGGCATGTTTTAATGAAGCTAATGCATCTACGTTTTGATTATTTATTAATTGGTTAACAGCAGTTAAAATTGTTAATTGACTTCTTTTTATTTAGATGTATTATAATTGTCCGCCACGCAGAGAATAGAAATATAAGAGAAATCAACTTGTAACCAGAAACCTCCTCTTCCTAATTATAGAGACAGCAGCTCTGTGTCTCCCTCCAGCGACAGCTATTGTGCACTTCACTGAATGTGGAGCACAACAAGAAGGGACAACAGCAAGTAACGGGATTTGATTTAAAAAGTATCCTGCTTTTATTTAAATCAACCGGGTGTCATCGGGTCACCGTAGACGTCTGATTTTGACGACAGTTCGCCACATGCAGAAGCTCCTTTGTTGTGATTGGTGAAAAGTGACGCAGCGTTGTTGTGAGTGAGGGGAGCCGTGGTGAAGCCGCTTCGTTAGCTTTAACGCGCGGACACCTCGGTTTGTATTTGACAGCGTCATGTAACTTCCTTCCTCCCTGCTGCTTCACCAACCCGGTGCATCAGTTCGGCCGCAGGTTTCCTGCAAGAAGAAGTTGCATAGGGTAGATGCTCGTTTCCTGTTCGTTTCCTCCTCAATGCCCAACCTGCCTTTCTTTGATCCCCCTCTAACTTATAAAGTGCGATGTTCAGCCGGCCCACATGTCACATCTCACGCAAGAAATGGCATCGCCGAGGGCCGTGCGAGAGTGGTGCCGCGTCACGTGCGCCAGATACCCCAATGTAGAAATCAAGAACATGTCAACGTCGTTCAGAGATGGACTCGCATTCTGTGCCATCATCCACAACCACCGACCTGACTTGATGTAAGTAGACCAGTAGTTTCATGGAGTGCAAACATCTATTCCGGTTAAGCATTGGTCTGATCTGCAGGTGTCCTGCATGTTAAGGACAAATCTAACATTGTAAACACATTTGTCCTTGTCTGTTGTTTTTTTTTTGGGGGGGGTGTCCTGTGCAGAGATTTTTTTGTCTTCTTGTCTCGGGCTGCACCAGATTGACTAATGTGCTGTCTAATCTGGAGCAGAGCAGGACCTGCACACTGTCTAATCTGCTTAATCTCTCTTCTTGTCCACTTTAATGGGATTAGTTGGTTTGTTTCTACCTTTGTTTTACATCCAACGGAAGAACTTGAATCATCTAATTTAGTCTGTGATCTTGAACTGCATTTAGCTTGTGCCAGTGCTTCTCTGTGTCTGTTGTGGTTAACCCTCATTCACCGATAGGCAACTGTTTTGTTTGTTTGTCTTATTTTTGTCATCACTTAATCAATCTCTTTATTTTCCTCACCTTGCTCCAGAGATTTCAGCTCCCTCTGCAAAGATAATGTTTATCAAAATAACAAGACGGTGAGTCATTTACATCCACGGTTGCACTCGGATCACAATGCAAGCATGTATCTCTCAACTCTGTGCTTGGCATTTAGTAACCATTACTCGCACAAAAGACTTCTGGGTCATTTGTATTGGTGCGACTCCCTCTTTCCAGTCTTCCACCTTCATTTCCTGTTCATCTTTCCCGACTTCCTGCAGGCATTTGAGATTGCAGAGAGGAAGCTGGGCATCCCCGCCTTGCTGGACCCTAAGGACATGGTTTCCACCAAGGTGCCGGATCGTTTGGGCGTCATCACCTACCTTTACCAGTACTACTACTTCTTCAACAGGAAGTCTTATGGTATGCTGAGTACAACGTCTCTGTTTTGTTTTATAGCTCTTGCTTTAATTCAGAGCTACTTGCAGAAAAACAGATGTTTATTTCTCACAAGCACGTTATCGTATCATTTGCATATCTTCTCTTGACTTTGCAGCAGGTCTTGCCAGTTCTAGGTCATCACACACCACTCTATTAAACAACCTCGCAAAGAGTAAAACTCCCGATGGCCTGAAACGCTTGAAGGTAAATTTAACGCACGTATGTTTGCACTTGTGAACACACCTTTTTGTCATCTCAGCCACTGGGTTGTCGGTATCAGTTGCAGGTTTCTCTTCTCCTTTCAGAGCCAGACTGATCTGGAAACCGGTAGAGAAGATTGTTTATCCAACACGAGGCCACGGACGGTGTGCAGTGTGTGTTTTAAGCCTGTCCACCTCATACAGAGACATTTGACCGACGGAAAGGTCTACCATCGCAGCTGTTTCAGGTAACAGCACAGTTCACAAGATAACAGCTGTTTTGTTTGGGTTTTTGTTTTAGTTTTTTTACTTGTTACTGTCTGGATCCAGATTCATCCAGACTGTGTGTTGATCCGGTTGGAGTCGGGCTGCAGTTCACACATAGGAATGTGTAGCAAATGTCTTTCAAGTGACCACTGTGGTCATAGTGGACATCCCTACTCACTATATCTGTACATGGCCTTACAGCGTAAGAAGAGGACTGGGTGGTTTTTCTGTTTGTTTTTTTTAATTGTCAAAGAATCTTCTTATAATATAATAATAATAATAATAATAATAATAATAATAATAATAATTTGAATACACGTGAGTTATTTAGACATCAGTGCAGGTAAATTATAGGATTACCTTTTTTTTCCTGTTGATATACGTTAAGAGTTTGTCTTCCAGGTGCAAAGTGTGCCGCAGCACTCTTTTACCGGAGTCTTACACACAGGGAAGGGGTGCCGGCTCGTTGATCTGCACTCACCACATTACGGACGGTAAAAGTACGAGCGTCGACCTCGCTCAGCAAATTGGATCTACTGACGATCGGACCAAATGTAAGTTTCAGGCAGGTTATTTCTCTCTGGGTGGATCGGCTATCTCCAGCTTCCCTCATTACACTGAGACAACAGAGTCACAGGACAGACTGGTTTGTAAGACACCGGAGACGCAGGAGAGGAGCAGAGAGCTGAAAGACAGAGACTCAACCGTTGGACTGAAGTGCACTGCGAAGAAACCGGCGCCTCGTCGTCTTCCTCCACCCTGTGTTGAAGGCAGGACCGTCACAGGAGCTGAAAAAGCTGGACTCAAGACTCAAGGGCCCTCTGAGCTCTCTTCACCGTGTGCACGAGTGACGGAAGGAAGTAGTCGGCCGGTTCCAGCACCCAGGCGGATGTTGGACCCTTCTGCGGTTCCTGTTCCTGCACCCAGGACCAAAGCTGCCCAGCCCGTGAACAGCTCCCCTGCTGCAGGTGAAAAATCATCTTTTTACTGTAGCTGATCAGTTTTTGTTTGTATGTTGATGAGCTCTTCTCTTTTTCTTCTCACATTTTTGTTTTTCTCTCTGTTTCTCCATGCAGGCAATTCATCCATGAACCAGAAATGTTCATCCAACTCATCTCACATGTGAGTGTACTTTTATTATAGTCTGTATTTCTCTTGATTATGTTCGATTTTCAAGCATCTCTTTTCTTTTACTCAAGCTACCTCTCTAACTTCCAGTAAGGAATTTATTCACATTTGACAATAATACAAAAAAAAATATTCTATAAACATCTTGATCTTACATTTAAAACTCAAACAAATGGATGTTGGCAAAATCTTAAACGTGTGATTTGATTTATCATAATAATGATAATAATGACTGATTTCCTCAGAAGTTCTTCCTCACATGTGGAGTAACCTCTTGAAGGTCTTGTCTTTCCCCCTGTAGCACCAGCCCAACCAGAGCGAGCCCTAAAGTGCAAACCAACCATCCGTGGATGACCATCATCCACCCCGGACCATGGACACAACTGCCTCCCGCTCCACCTCCGCTACCCGCTCCTCGATCCAAATCTGTCTCCAACCCGCGGAGGCCCTGGAACAGGCCCCAAGTGCCTCCTCCCAATCCATTTGGAGAGGAGGTGGATGAGGACTCTCAGACAGACGGCACTAAGCCTGAGCCTGCCGACCAAACCGAGCCCTCAGCGGCAGCTATCCGTTCAGAGAGTGGTGGCAATCGGAAAAACACATCGGGGGACACGGATGCTGTGGTTTGTTCAAGTGATGCTGAAGATTCTGCTACTAAGTCTACACCTGATGATGTGGGAGCTTCACGTGAACCAGCTGGAGAAACAAGTCAACTGTTATCTGATTTGGATGGAACTGGAAACACAAAAGGTGACTCTGCAGAAGAAGCACAGAGTCACATTTTACCCAGGAGTCTGTCTGTGCCAGCGATCACATCTGCCCGCTCTCAAAGCTCCCTTTTGCATTTTGACCTGACGGAGGCTAATGAGTCTGACCAGGTCGTGTCATCTCAAAGTAAGGTACGGAAAGAGATAACCGTTAATAATGAAATCTAATACGAACGTTTTCTTCTGCAGTCACTTCAACACAACAATGTTTTTTTTGTTTTTTTTAGCTGGCCTGCAGAGAGAATCCCTTTGATCGAAAATCTGGGATGCCCAAATCAAAGACCTTTCAGGCCCTCCCCTCTACGCGGACCCCCGCCCCCGGACATGGCTTCCCACTCATCAAGAGGAAGGTACAATGGCTGGATTTAGAACTCCAAAGACAACTAATAATGTGAAAAACTCAATGAATGTTTATACTTATTCATATAAGTAATATTCTAAATACACATTGCTGCCAAAAGGTTTGCCTCCGCGCCCTGGTATTCAACCTGAATAGAAGGATTGGATGCAAACACACAGACTATTTTAGCTCTCATCACCAGGTTCAGTCATTAGGGAGCATATGTAAATCTTTGTGGTGATTATTCACACTTGGTTTTGCAGAAGTTCTGCATAATTTTTGGAGTGTGAGATGTTACTGAGACTTGTATGCTGCTGGACAGGTGCAGACAGACCAGGATGTGTCCACAGAGGACCTGCAGGTGGAGATGAGAGAACTGGAGAAAGATCTGGACGCTCTGGAACAAAGAGGAGTCGAACTGGAGAAGAATCTGAGAGACTGCAAGAACGGTTCGGCAAACTGTTCTTACTGGTTCGAACCAAAATGATTCACTGGCTGCCACCAAGTCACTGTTTTTGTGAATGAAGTGTATAAATACTATGTAAAAGTTACATTACTATGTAATATATGTTTGCTCCAATGACCGTTCTTTTTGCTTTAGATGAAGAAGAGGAACAAATGCTAACGGGGTGGTTCTCTCTTATCCATGAGAGACACGTTCTGATGAGCAGAGACACTGAGCTGGTTCATCTGTAAGTAGACTAGACCAGGACGAGGATTTTTGCTCTGCCTATGAGTCGTACAGTATGTGCCATTATTTGTCCTGCAGTCTGCTCCGCAAGCCAAAATGTTAGGCGAGTGTTGTGACGGGTTTGTTGTGTGTTTTGCCTTTTCCCAGGACAAAGCAGCAGCAGTTGGAGGAGAGACAGGCAGATGTGGAGTACGAGCTCAGATGTATCCTTAATAAACCAGGTCAGTGTGTTGCTGTGTGCATTAGTTAAAAAAATAACAATTATTTATCTCAAAAGCATAGCTGGGAGGAAACTCAGGGATTCAGGGATCGATAATCATTATAACCTTATAATCAATAGAGCCAACATTTGTAGTTGTTACCCTGGTGAAAATCACACATACACTATAAATAAGCATATTTCTAAAGGCAAATTGTTCCAGAGGTTTAAATGATCCTGGTCTGTGCGTTTCACCTTCTGACCTGAAACTGCCTTTGTGTAAAGGGGAGCAAGACATAAATCCCAAACCTCACTGGGTTCACTTCCCTGAATGCGGTGAATGTCAATGCAGTGCAAAGACGTGACGTGCTGTGCTTTGTCAACATTCAGTGAGCGACTGGAGTCAGGAGGATCGACGTCGAGAGCAGCAGCTGATGGATGAGCTGGTCGCCATCATCGAACGGAGGAACCAGATCGTCAGCAGCTTGGATCAGGACAGGCAGAGGTGTGCAGAAAGAAAAAACTATACATCGGGCAGTCACAGATATTCATGTTGAGAATTGAAAATGCAACTTTTCATTTTTCTGATTAGGGAAAGAGAAGAAGATATGCTTTTGGAAGCCATGATGAAGAACAAAGGTGAAAAAAACTTGATATCAAAAAGTAAAACACCTACAAAATTTTTTTGAAAATGCTGACTCGTGTTCTGCTGACCCTAACTGTGATATCTCTCCACAGAGATCCAGAAAGAAGGATTGAAAGAGCTCAAAAAGTCAAAAGGAAAGTTCAAGCCCACGAAATTGTTTAAGCTGCTGAACCATAAAGCTGAGAGCAACAAAGACTCCATGGACAAGAAGAGCTGAAGTACTAACCTGACTGCAGAAACTCTCACAGAAAACAAACTCGTACTTTGAGATAAACAAGATGATGAAAGTGTTGTGGGAAACTGGAATCCGATCACAATATTAAATAGTTTATTCATTTTGTGTTGAAGAGCAGCTCCGTAGCATTCCCTAAACAAAATATTCTCTCAAATGTACATGTTATCTCCCATGTGTCTTTACTTGCCCTGTGTAACTCCTGTTTTACAAAATTTTTATTTTCATTACATACTTGTATTTGATGAAGTATGAAATACATATGGATTTGGGAAAGTTGTCTCTTTTTTTTTATGAAGAATTGTATATTTAATATTCAAATAACTTTTTTGACTTGGTAGTTATCCCCTATGCTGACAAAATGCATTTATACTCACTCAAACCAGCCAGTTAAAACCAACTTGTTTTGAATGTTTGATTGTTTTTGATTTAATATTTATATTATGTATTTTAAATGGAGAGCAGAGCTTGGAAATCCTCAAAGAACTGGAACAAAAAACGTAATAACTCCTAGATGTCAACGTCCTTTGTTTGTGAATTATTCTTCACGATTTGTGTCTCCGGACCCCTATGTCGGATAGAATTTTGTTCAATGCACAAAAACGGCAACATCTCTGGAAAAACAGTTATTTCAGGGTGAAAGTTGAGAATTTTTCTGCAGTGAAAGTTGACAAGTGACAGTGAGTCTTGGTTTGTTCATAAAAATGCTATAAGAGTAAGTCTAATAGTCTAGATAAACTAAATGCATCAGCTACACGTGGGGGGAAAAACGGAGGGTTGTGTTCTTATATAAACATATGTTATGAGTAGGCAGGTGTGTCCCTATTTTGCACAAGTTTGCAAAGGATATATCTCCCCACTACGAAACAGACTAATTCAATCTGACCCGCACCATAATCGTTTTATTGTAATTACATTATTAGACCAAAGAATTCAAGCTCAAGCTTTTTCTTAGCAGCGTTTTTATTGGCAGTACGGGCGGAACGAAAACAAACGTTCCTCTGGCACACCCGGAATATTCTCCAACGGACCGAGATACCGGAAGTTAAACATTCTCGCCGTTCATGTGGATCAATGTTGACAACAAAAAGTGTTTCTGAACGTTGATATTAGCAGTAATTCACAGAACATTTACAAGATTCAACATAAACCATGTCCGACAACGAAGACAAGTAAGTGGCGACACACAACGTTAAATACGTGATATATTGAGCTGCGTAGTTATTATAACACAAAACAACGTGGGCTAACGTTAACGTTCTAGCTAACTGACATGTTGGTTAGCTAGCAGAACTGCTCATTATTATTCTAGATTTGTGGTCTAATTGTTATGATGTCATTTCTATAGTTTCGACGACGGAGATTTTGAAGATGGCGAAGAAGATGAGGGATTAGATGACCTGGAAAACGCCGAAGATGTAATTTAATTATTGTTTAATTATATGATTATTGGCTGTTCTGACAAGCATTTAGTTTGTGTGTAACCTATCAAGCCTTTTACCTTTTTTTGTCTCCACCGCTGCTTCTGTGATAATATACCCGTTTGATTTGCTCTCACGTGCAGGTGGACCGGGAGAACGTGCAGATCCTGCCTGCAGGACAGGGGCAGGGGGCCAACCAGAAGAGGATCACAACACCTTACATGACCAAATATGAGCGAGCCAGAGTGCTTGGGACACGAGCTCTCCAGATAGCGTGAGTGTGTTTGTCTGGTGACCTGTACCCTGTATTCAGGTGATATGACCACAATGTCCTGGATTCCAATCTGTCCTCTGACCTTCGACCCCTGTCGTCACACTTTTCTTCCCATGTTCACTGAATTATGTCCACGTATCATGAAGGCTGGAGGGCTTATTGTCAGGAAGCTAGATGATTTGGCTGAGTGGCACTAGTCAATACCTTTTTAATGTGATGAGTACCATAACCCAGCTCCTAATGTATTGTGGGAGGGATTGGCTGTTTGGAGGCCACTTTATCAGTCAGGCTCTTTTGTGTTACCTGTTTTTAAGCATTTACTTTACATGTCTATCTGCTTCCAACAGGATGTGCGCTCCAGTCATGGTGGAGCTGGAGGGAGAAACGGACCCCTTGCAAATCGCTATGAAAGAGCTCAAGTAGGTGCTAATTGTGTAGTTTGAATTATCAGTAATGCTTTGTAAGATTATATCATTACTGCATATTTAGTTTCCTTCTGTCGTTATTTAGAGAGACGGTCAATATTCTTTGATATCGAGCTTCTCTGTACCGCCCAGCGTCTCACAGTGAATATTGTTTGACCGTCCAACAGGGGCAGAAAGATCCCTATCATCATCCGCAGGTACCTTCCCGATGGGAGCTACGAGGACTGGGGCTGTGACGAGCTCATCATAACTGATTAAAGCACTCACCCAGTCTGAACTGATAAATCAATATGTGCTGGTTCACAGCCACCATCACATCAGGTCAGTCAGCCACACAAACCCAGAAGATCCCCTAAGGCCGACCCCAGCATCACCCACCTGTTCGTGCCCACGATTTGATCCTCAAACATCCATCGCTTCAGGTGACTCCGTGAGTCTGTGGAATATGAATAAAGGAAATGTGCTGAGTTGACACTAGAAGGCTGATTAAAACAGAGACGCTTGCAGGTTTCTGATCTTGTGATCTGACTTGTTACATTTTTAGTTCCATTGTGTTGTTTGCCACGCGACTCGAGATACAAATCCACTTCTTTAACAGTTGCATTATAATGAAGAGCCACAAGGGGGAAATGTAACTTAAGTCGAACATTTGCTTTGTTTTACAAAATGAACCTGTGTTGTTGTTATTCCATGTTTTGTTCTGAAGGAGAGAGGTGATTAGTGTACAAGAACTGTTTTATTGTTATTAATAAACTCTTTTGTATAAATGACCATGTCACATTTATAACACGTGTAACGACACGATGAACCGGCAGATGTTTGTAATGAGTTTTTAACTCATACTATGAGTTAATATCACAATGTCACAGGGACTTAACAGTATAATTATGCAGTAAGCCTCCTGAGTAAGTGGGATGTTCAGGTAAACTTAAGGAGTTGCAAAAGAGATATTAAGTTACCCTGAACCTACAGTATGTCATGATACTGCTAAATTATATTTAGGTGTTGTTGGCACAGCTTTCAGTAGGATTGACTAAAACGTCTTAAGAGTTCACATACGTCCACTTTTCTACTTTGCTGTTTTCTTCAGTGTGGCAAAAGTTATGATTACAGCTGTCACATGAAATAAACCCACACAGTTTCCACCTGAAGATGTTATATAGTTCAGCTACAGACAGCAGTAACTCAACACAACTCATGTTGAGTATTAGCATGTTACTATGCGTCTGCTTTAAAAAAACAACACAATTTCTGAAGGATTTCTTGGCAGATTTCGGGTACACATCGAGCACCGCTTCAAAGGTGGCGATCAAGTTGAACAAACTGGTGTTTTTCAATGTGTTCTTCCACACTGCCGCCTTAAAGACCACGATGTTCATGATGATCATAATGTTAAAGAGGTGAAGGTGCGTTACTCCTGCAGCTGATGGAGATGTGTAACTGTCGTGATGCTATCCGTGTCTACACGCCCCTCCCCGCCCCCCCGCTCTCTCCCCATTGAAACATACGCACAAAGCAGCTAAACAGTCACTGTATTGTTCAGCCAAAATGGGTTGTTGCCCAGTGCAGAAAGAGGGTCAGTGCATGCAGGAAAGATAGAGGGGGCTGAAAGTTTGTGAGAATGAGAGGATTAACAGCTTTGTAGTAGAAGAAGCTGCACGGCGATAGATAGATGGATTATATGTTCAGCGTAGAATATAGAATCTTATCCTGCGGTAAAAAGTAAAGACGTGTGTATCGTCTATGTCACAAGCATTCAGACGTCATCTCTGAGAATCCGGTTTGGACTGGTATCTATAATGGTGCGTAGCCACAGTCATGCTGTTCATTTCTAAAAAAAACTGCTTTAATCTGTGGGTCTTTTGATTGGAGGAGACATTGCCTCGGGGTGACGCTGAAAGTCCTTTCATGAGTCGGATGGGGCAGCCCATGTGATACTCAGCAGCACCAACCACAGAGAGGCCACCATCAGGTCATCCTCAACCCAGTTTAGGGTGCGACTAATATCTTCTGACTTTTTCTTTTGCTCATTATTCTCTCTCTCTCAATCCTCTGTCTTTATTTCTCTGTTCTGTTGATCGGCCCCACACATATTGGAGTCTGATCTGTCTTTTTCCAAACTGTTGTGCTCTGACGATGCCACATTAACCCTGTGATTACGCTGCACTAAATAGTATCTTCCTAGCATTTGTGTGCTGGATTTGTAGATTTGATTATGGGATCTAGGGATGATGAATTATTTAGCTTCCGATAGTGTCTTACTTGAATTCTTCAGATCTCCCGACTTCCCTCAGCAAAATGCCTCTTTGTGTTTTTCTTCGTGCAGCCCCAGTTCCATGTACTTCTCATGATTACTCTCTAACCACTCTGGTGAGTGAGACCCTCTGCTGCTCAACAGAATGACATTAGCTCTGCAATAACTGAGTTCAATTTGAAGAGACCTTCAATGTTTCAGCACAACTTGGAGACGCAAACACAACCCTTCCACCTGACCGACGGTGAGTTTGATCCGTTCCCGTCTGCACCGCACGGCGGCAGGTTGAGCCGCTGGCTCCCCGTCGACTGTCTGTTCCTGGGTGTGCTGCTCCTGGCTGACACCCGTCAGTAAAACAATGAAATAACTCTACCTACGTCTTCTTTCTGATTAACTATCTTACTTTTGGGAATGTTTTAATCCCATTTACAGCTGCAACCTGAAAATGGAGGTTTTTTTTTTTTTCGGTGGATGGGGTGAGTGGTGGGGGAGTAGGAGGGGGGGGTTGCAGGGTCTGTGTGCTGAGAGTATGAGAGTCCCATTGTATCCCGGTGAAGCTACAGGCCCGGCAGTTATGGGTAAGGCTCCCTCATTACCCCGTTTCCCTCCTCCCCCCCCCCCAAGCTCCCCTTCAATGGCCCTCTTTGTCTTTCCAAAGTATCACACAGCTGATTAAAGAGAGGGAATTAAGAGTCAGGCTTCACCCGCGACACACAGAGAAACACACATGCACACTCTAATGAAATATGCATGTAGGCATGCAGAGCCAATCATACCCTCATCTGGGGCTGCATTAGCTCAGGTTCAGCCGCAGTAAACACCGACAACCTGCAGTACGTGAGTGTACGTGTGATGAGTGCTGCTGTTGTAGTGCAACACACCATCCCCACATTCTCCTCTACTGCATGCACATACAAGCACCCATCACTCTTACCTCTGCTGATGGTTGGGGATCGCTGTAGCTGTGAGTCCCAGCCGGCTAAAGTCAATCGTCCCATTAGCTCGATGCAGAGAATGTGAGCAGTGGTCGAGTCACCAGACGCCATGAAGACGAGCTTTTGTGAAACAGGAACATGTTTAGAATCTGAGGGACGATTTGTTGTTGACTGATATGCGTTATGCTTTATTTCTGATATTTGTTGCACAGTAAAAAGACAAGAATTCCAAAAGGCAGACTTTTATCAAAGCAGAAATAATAGAGCTTTTATTTCAAATGAGCGTAAAAGGTCATAGTCATCATCACATGTTTAGGCTTTCGCTCCTGCTGTTACTTAGAAGTCGTGTTGCTGTGCTGTGCTGGCAACAGTTATACAAGGATGGAGACTATGAAATACTAAAATGGCAGTACCGGTCGAACACGTCGTCCTCGTGTTGGTAGAGGAACAACTAACGGCGCAAACACAAGCATAAAACAAATATAAATAGCAAAATTCGTAGCAATATAACACATTCACATGTAGCAACAATGATGTACAATGAACTCTGCTTGCTGTGCTGGAGGTAAATGGTTAAATGATAATGGGCTTTAAGCGTCGATGGAGTATGAATCAAAACAAGCAGTGCTGCATGCATATGGTTCGGATCTGCATCCAGTAGTGATAAAGAATATTTGAGTGATATACATAAAAACAAAGCAAAAATAAATGAACGTTTTTTTTGTTTTTTTTTTCACTTTCCCAGATGGAAAATAAGATACTTAAGATACAGTTCTGTTTAGGACATGAGGGAAAGAAATGACATGTGGAAATGTATAATGTATAAAGACCAAAGAAAAACACTTCATGCAAAACTAGTTTAACTAATAGTCCAACAATTGGGAAAGACACAAACATGATTTAAGATAAAATACTTCTGTTTCATAAGTGAGCGGCAGGTATTTTTAAAGGACCGGGCGCATGTTGTATTTAATATCAGGCTGTGTTAAAACTTATTTCTCCTAGAAGATTTAATCGCTCAATCTCTGGCAACTGTTTCTCAGTATTTGGCATCTCCCACATTGAAACTGTCCTCAAAATGCAACAAAAAGAGAAAAATGTTAAAGTAAGTATCAAAAGATCTGACATTTCATATTAAATATTGATACGCATTTTAAATCACACACAAAAGGTAAAGAAAAGGCAGGGTGCAGATTTTCAGTGAAGATAATAATGGCAAAAACAATTTAACAATATTAATACAGTTAATAGTTAAAACAAAGAAAAAGCTTCTACCGTGTGTTCTATGACGCATTGAGACGAGGGATACACGATGTGGATTGTTTTACAGCTGGTACGATAATTACCTGCTTCTCAAGGCCGATACCGATAACATAACCGATCATTTCCCATTTTTTTGTATTTTAAAAGGAAGTTCATAACTTGTATTTTATTTTGCACACCTGAGTGAAAGAATGGCGAAGATGTACTTTGCAAAGATGGATGATTTAATATTCCAAAGCTCTGACTTGTGTAGACGCTGTGCCTGTTAAGTCAATGAAAGCAATTCTGGCTCTGTAATATCAGCTCTATATATATATATATATATATATTATATATCAAATTGAATTTTATTTGCGGAATAATACATATTTATATAGATTTACCATCATCGGCTGATCATTTTATCGGCCGATACATATCGTGCATCCCTAATTGCGACCACGGTCAGTGAAAATGAATCATGCAAGTTTAAATAGAATTATCTTTTTTCATGAATGTTCTTCATGAATGCGTCAAGTACTAATGAAAATCATCGCACTCATCAGTGCCATTGTGAAAAAAAAGGCAAAAGTAGCTTTTGACACCAATGTGTTTTTAAGGCATTTACAATAAGTCACATTGGCAAAAAATTGAAGAAAATTGAGAAAACTAGTGACCTGCGTATTGTAAGGTAGTTTTGAATGTCACGTTGGGAGAAACGTCTGTATAATCAGTTTCTTTTCTTAAAAGTTTTGGTCTCAAAACTTTGGTCGTTTTACAAATATCTTAAAATCTGTCTGCATCAGTAAACGTACATTTGTAATTTCAAGTACATCGTATCAACTATCCTGATAACAATCAGTAATCATAACAATTGTTTGTTTTTTTTACTAAATATACATTTCACTGAACAAAACCTCAACATAGTTTTATGGCATTTTGCTTCCATGCACGACCGTTGTTTGTACAAAAGGCATGTTAGGTGAACTCAGCATAATAATAATTTGAATTAATTAATTAAGGACAAATGTGCCTCTGACACAACAGAATGATATCAGTATTTGTTGTATTAATTCCTAAAAGCAATACAATTGAACATCTGTTTGATAAAAGGTCAGTCTTGCCTGAGAAGTGAATGGGCCGCAGTTTGGCACTTCATTCTTCTGGTACAAAAAAAACTATTTCATGTAGAATGAATTTGGCTCCATTTCAGTCACACCCTTCACTATAGAGATCAAAGTCTTGCTAATGTGTACCGTTCTCTGTTGCTGCTGACCCCTGGTGGCTTGAGGAAGAAGGGTGTAGACTACAAAGTGCCTCCTCTGATACACAAAACCGACAGGGACATGATCCTTAACCACTTGTGAATACTGTCATGTTGTTTGGAGCGCCAGAGGCTTGGCTGCTGTGACTCTAACCTGAAACTCTGCGATGGGTGTAAAGTGAAACATTCTGTCACTTCTACGCCGAGTGCCCCAAATAATCAACCGCGCCTGAAAAGCCCCACGCTCCAAGCTCATCCTTGGACTGCGACAGCATTTCTGCATCTGGGCAGGGGCAGAACGGGGTTTCTCCCCTCCTGCCTCCCCTGCCGACTCCCCCAGTGCCTGCCCAGACCCCCCAGCCCAGACCACTTTCGCCACCGTTGCCACCAACACCGCTGTTGTAGCCGCTGCTCCTTGGGTCCGACGTGGGGGCTGAACCGGCACCGGTGCCCTCTGGTCTCGTTGTCTGTCATGGCCGCGACAGAGTCGTGTAGATGGGCTGTTCCCAATGCGTGGGGCTGTGTGACTGCGGCACGCTGGCCGGGTCAGTGATGGCGGTGTACAGGGGCCTCTGGGAGGGCCCCATGTAAGAGAAGGCGGAGTACAACCCCGAGGCCTGGCTGGAATGAGCGTAATAGGACCCTGAGGCCTGGTGGTCAGCATAATCGGCAAACTGAGCCCTGGAGGCCAGTGAGGGGAAGGCAGAACTGTAGTGAGGAAGGCTGAGGGGGGTGTAGGTGACATGGGAACCTACTGAGCCTGCCTCTGCAAAGTGACCCCCGGTACCCCCAGCCTCGCTCTTGATCTGGGCTTTGGAGGGATCAGAGCCCAGAGATGGGCTGTGGTGTTGCAGCTGCTGCTGCTGCTGCTGCTGCTGCTTGGACAGCCAGGCTGCTGAGTGTCCACTGGCCGCTGCCAGAGCGGAGGAGATGCCGTAGGTGTACGAAGAGGCTGGGGAAGGTGTAGCAGCCGCTCCCGCCCCAGCACTCTGCCCAACCCCCGGGTGTCCATTTGGAGGAAGGTACTGGTCAAACTCGTTGACATCAAAATGCTCCATGTTGGCCATCACCTCGTGGCTCATCTCACCAATGTCCACATTACCAAAGTCGATGTGAGGTTTACCGGATCCCGGAGCACCTGAGCTTCCCTCTGCTCCCATCGCACCACGCGAGCCCCCATTCCCTGCACCCTCCCGTTTTCCATCCCCCACCTTCCCAGACTGAGGCTCGGTCTTGGGAGTGGTGGGAGGTGTGGGAGGACTGTGACCTGTGGAGACACAAGAAAACATGTAGTTACAGTCGTTTTCCTTGGCGGACTCAACCAATTATGTATCGGTGTGCCACATTGTTCAGTTGTATCCAGACTAATCTGGGAACCGTGTGAAAGAAACGGTATCAGTAAAGTTATTGGCAGGGAGCCTGCAGCCCACCTGCAGCATGAGGGTGGTGCCCGTCTGCCAGAGGGGACCCGGCAGGCCGAATGAGGGACACATCCAGTTGGAGGCCCTTGTAGTGTTGGCCGACCTCACCCTCCGAATGGCCATCGGCCTCACTTCCTGATCCAGAACCGGGCTTTCCGCTTTTGCGGCGTCGTGGCTGGTATTTGTAGTCGGGATAGTCCTTCTTGTGCTGCTTCCGCAGCCGCTCTGCCTCCGCGATGAAGGGCCGCTTGTCGCCCTCGTTAAGAAGCCTTGGGTAAAAGGAAAGGATGTTGGAAGATAGGTTTGTTTAAGGTACAAAGAGAAGAAAAGTCTCAAGACTTTTATTGCTGATATTCTACATGATTATGCAAAAGGTAAGTAATGTTGGTCTCATGGTAACTTTGGTATTTGACTAAATGTAGAGCCTATAAGTTAAGAGTTACATGAATACTTATAAAATGCACATTCAGATGAATTGTTTATGGCTTCATATTCTGGATTAACGGGAATAAAAGAATATCAACAGTCAGTATATGGGTCAAAATGATCTTTCACAGATAACAGCAATATGCTTGGCAACATACATTCCAGTAATAAATTTGATCAATTTTCAGTGCTTATTAATACATTATGCTTCCTTCACTACAGCTGTATCTAATGTCTGCCATGAGCTTTTGACTGCTGGACAGTAATGAAATAATACGGGCCAAAGATGCATCCTGTCTGCATCACATGACACTGAGCTCCTTATTATTACTGCTGGCAGGAATGGCATGAGTAACTCCTGACCTTCCTCAGCCTCCCTGTTCATCGTGTGTCTGGGCCGATTAACCAATCATGCCTGAGCCCAAGGTCTAGTCTTCATCTGATTAACGTTCAGTCCTCACAGGGTTAATGAACCTTGTGAGGACTGACCTTCTTGTCAGCAAATAGTCAGTGTTTTTTTTTTGTGAGAAGATGGACACTGGACGGATGGTCTGACAGAGCTTTAAACTTAAAGAAGTGTAAAGGAGTGATCAAGAGGCAGCGTTGTTGACGACTGGCCCGGCGCTCTAGCATTCAATCAGACACAATAAAAGATTGAAATTTCCAAATTGAAATGACACAGAAAATCTTGCCGTACCTTTTAATTTGAAGGTTGAAAACCTGGACTTAAAATATGTGCAGAGAGCATTCCCTGGATTCCTTCAGGAGCCGTTTACTCCAGCTACATGGCCAGTAATTGAACAGCGTATGCACACTCACAATAAACAAGACAATACTTCTCAACTGGTGAGCTGTGTTGAAACCACGTCTCCTAAAAAGAAATCCCGTTTATATCGAGTACAATTCAACTACATGCAGCAAAACATTTCACCAAAAGATATAATACCACAAATCACATGAGGGAATGTTGTTATGTCTTGCTACATGATCTCATGAACAAGGTCTCATCTATGTCTAAAGAAAATAAAAAGTAAACAACCAAATGGTCACGGGAAAAGGCCAAAGCTTGTTAGATAATTATCATAATTGTCACCAAAACTAAAAAGATTCTATTTATAAAACATAATAAAAGAGGCGTCTGCTTGTGCACAATAACCTGTGTGTGCAGCAGTTTCTCTCTAAAAGTACCCAAACTCTTGTTTCTTAATATCAGTGAGTGTACTCATTTAAATTGGCCTGAAGGAAAATCCATGGAATAGAGATGATAGTCTACAAAATAACAAAACCAAAGGGGAAATGAAGAAAACATTGTCGGGTATTTTTTTTTAGTAGGTGCAAGACATCAGCTGACTGAGGGGATGCTTATTTAGAAGTACTTTGATTACTGGGGAACTATACAACAGGATTGCTTTACCCTATTGCATTTACTCTGATATCGCTCAGGCTTGAGCATGACACTGACCTTTGTCTGGAGCTATTTCCACCTAACCCCCCCCCCCCCCTCTAAAAATAAGCCCTGTGAGCCTCAGCTGAACATGACAGTGATGTGACAACATGCAGACTATCAGCGCTGCCTCCTCACCTCCAGAGCTTCCCCAGGGTCTTGCTGAGCTCCGCGTTGTGCAGGTGCGGGTGCTGGTCGGCCAGTTTCCTCCGCGCCGCCTGCGCCCACACCATGAAGGCGTTCATGGGCCTCTTCACGTGCGGCTTGTTCTTGCTTCCGCTGTTCACGCGCACTGGCATGGGCACGAGGGTCCAGTCGTAGCAGTTGAGCACCTGGCTCACCGCGTCGCGGATTCCCGCGGGGAAGCGGTCGTCCTCGTCCTCGGATTTGATGGACGCGCTGCCCGCCGCAGAGTCGTCCAGGCCCGCCGGCTGCGGCTGCTGCCGCCCGCTGAGAGGCGAGTCCCCCCCGCCGGCCGCACCGGAGGAGTGGCCCGGTGACAGGGAGCGACTGTCGTCCGACATCCCGGGACTGAGCTCAACGTCCGACATGCTCTGCTCCTCTCTGGACATCTTCCTACACACACACACAAGGCCCCCCCAGGTGCGCAGAGGATGCAAGGTCTGTTTCTAAATGCTCAGCTCTACCTGTCCGGTCCCTGTTGCTGTTCGTCGCTACAGTGACGCACGGAGTGTCGGCTGACCGCTGATCTGTCTGATCTGTCCCTCTGGCCTCCTTCAAGTTATAATATAAACTGCCAGTCTGTCTCTACTCTCAGCCTCCGTTGCAAAACTCTGTGAGGGTTCCACATTAAAGTTCTTTCCATCCGTATTGTTGGTATCATAGGCGGCTCAGTGCGCACCTTGGACCCCAGTTTACCTGCTAAAGCACAACTGTGCGCCAAACTCACCCGGTCTCACGTCCCTCGTGAACTTCCCCTTCACTCTCTCTCCTCCGTTTGTCCAGCGGTTGAAATCCAACAGTGAGGACCTGAAACAGCAGAATGATGGTGGCAGCGTCAGTTCAGCAACAAGCCAGAGGTTTAGAGGGTTGTCCCTGCGTCATGAGGCAGCACACACACGAAGGTGTGTTGGTGTATGATAGGCTGGAGGGGCTGTTTTATCTTAGTGCTTTTAATACATCAGAGCGAGGTCAAGACCTCACTTTGGGGAAGATTTTGGCTTTTCACAATTTTTCTCTTTCTCTCTCTCCATCACAGTAATAAAACAAGATATTGGGCCTGACTGAGAGGATTGTCCCACCCCATTTTCCCTTAATAAATAGTCCCTTTGTGGGCCATGTCCCGCCTCCACCTTTTTTACTCCACTATTTGCAACACTCGCACAGATATGAGAATATCCTCGAGTGACTTCTTTAAATGTCAGGAATATATCGAAGACATTTTCATGGTAGGCAAAAATAAAATAACTTCAAAGCTGAGCCAAAAGAACCAAAAGAATCATCTACACATTCAAAGTGGAGCTCAGTAAAATAAAGTGCAGTCTCTAAATAAGGATGTGGGGTTTATTTGCAGTGGTCCGGCTCCTGTGTAGCCCCCCTCCCCCCAAACACACCTTACTGTTTAAGGTTTAGCAGTTATTCCAAGCTCCCCGGAGAGGGAGTGTTGGAATGATATGAGGCCGCAGCAGCACAGACCTCGGATTGATGCTCTGCATGTTCTTGGATAAACACGGCCTGGCGCTGGAAATATAAACCCCCGCGTGTGAATTAGACACAGTCTGTTTGTGAAACAGGGGCAGGTCTATAGGCGGGAGCAAAAATGTGTCCTTGTTTTTGCCCATTAAATCAACACCCTGCCTCAGACTCTACGTCCTAAATCAGCGAACTTCCTGTGAACCACGCGACACACAGCCCGCTGGTTTGTTTTCTACTACGGTGTCATGTTGCAGGAAAATGAGCGATCTCGCTCACGTCCAGTGACATTACGAAATGGCTTGTCATGTGCAGGTTAGGTGTGTGGGGTGGTGGGGGGGGGGGGGGGGGTGTATACCCACTTAACACTCAGGTTACTTCACTTTTATATTTGAGGAAAATTGTTCACCCACTTTTTTTTTTGCCAAAGACACGTACAATAAGCATACGTGAATGTATATGCCTTTAGATGATTAAATAAAATCGATTGAATTACAGATTTTGTCGTGTGGATAAAAGCTTGGCGTGTTCCGAACGCTAACCTTTAATTAACATCAGAATGAGGTCGTATCAATTCCCCCGCAGAGGCGTATTTACAGCTTCCCCGTCTGTCCGAGGCGCATTGATAACGGTATTTGCCTGCCAGCTGCTCTGCAAGGCCTCCTCACAGAAATCACAGTCGTCGCGGCTCTAAAGCGTCCCTGCCGCGTAACACCGTGCGTAAAAGGCACCAAACGCCTCATTGCGCGCGCGTTGCCTGTGTTTGCACGATGCGCGGTTCGCATATTATTCTTGTGAAAGAAAGAAAGAACGCAAATAGTGTATGTAGAATCTAGAATCCCTTGACTGAGCTACTGGTCATATTTCCCTTTCGTCACTGACCACATTGATTATAAAGTGTTGTTTCTTCAGCGGATAACACCTCAGATAGGAACAGAACAAGCGAGTAATGAATTCAACAGTGAGTCTTCTGTATGGTCATTTGATTTATCATCTGATGATATGTAATATTGTGTTTTCGACACGGACCTTAAATCGTGCTTGTTATTATTAATTAACTGCATGAAATGATTTCCGGTTATGTGAACTCATTATCAACGCTTGGCCTGTAAGTGAGTTGGCCTTAATTTGCTTGTTTGAAAACTTTTTTTTGTTTAGTCTTTTTTTTAAATTTTTTTTTTTTTTATTAGTTTTAAAACAGCTTAGATTTCACGTCCACACAGCTCCAAAACAACACTATGTATAGAATAAACCAGCACAAGTCGCAACTAAACCAAGCACACTAATCCAATTGTGCATCTGCACCAAAGTCCATGTCAATAATTTAGCTGTTTCATAGAATCCCTTGACGGAGTTACTGACTTCTAAAAACGTCTGTTTGAGCAGCTTTTCTTGGTATTAAAAGGCTGTTACTGTGTCCTCGGTTAGTGGGACATTTTAAATTGTGTCAAATCATAAAAACTAATAAGCTATATAAAAACATAAAACCCAAAAATCTAAAACAGGAGCAGTTGTTGCACTGACACAATTCACCATTGCAGGATTCACCATGACAGCGATTATCACGTGTATGATAATAATCCATGTCAAAGGTATCAGAATGATTCTTAAAGCTCATACAGATTGTCCTACACAGAGACCTAAAGGACGAACAAGTCAACCGTTAATTTGGACCAGTCTAAAACCACAGTCCTGTCATGGCAATGTTAACGAGTCTTTGGTTATAAGACTATATACTAGTCGGGGTTCCTCTCTACGGTCCCGACGAGAAGAAACGTGCAAATCGCAGTCAGAGCAGCCACCAGCAGCAGAGAGGAAAGAGTTGGAAATGCTGAACGCCTTACTTCAGTAATGAGAAAAGGAGGTCGCCGATTTAGCACGAGAATCCGTGAGTTCCCGAGTTTCCAAAGTGACGCTCGCTCCCGAGCCCCCTCGCTCGCACTGCCCGAGAATGAATGCCTGCTCTGTGTGTCGGTACCGGGGCTTAAAGAGCTCCTTGTATGAGGCTGAGGGAGAAAAAAAGAAAAAAAAAAGATAGATGGGGAGGACAAGTCTTAAAGGAGCCGTACGCATGCAGGCTTGGAGATCTCTGATTGGCTACTCCCCCTTCCCCCCCCTCTCTCTCCCGCTGTCTCTCTCTCCATCGAACCAAATAAAACCGTGATGCTAAAATGGAGAGGAAAGATTATGCGAAAATACCTTTTGCGAAGTTTTATGCAAAGGAAAGTGTGCACAATATGTGTTTATATCGTACACCCTGCTCTGACTGTTTTACCCGGAGAAATGCTTATCTCCACACACGTATTCGGCATTCCTAATCCCACACCTGAGCAATTAAACAGGCCTTGTTTTGGAGTATACTTCAGACGATCTGCCATTTTTTTTTCAGAACCCCAAATTTACCATTTTATTTACAGGCTCCCTCTGGCACCTTAGAATACTTAAAGTGTGCACGAATCTAAAACATATAGATTGTATTCTAAAAATAATTACAAAATGAAATCAAGTGTGCCGCTGCAGGAGTTCTGCGGACAATATATCAGCTGATATAAATGTTCTCGTGTAGCCTATCATTTGATGAGGTAGTTAAAATTGCAGAACATGCTCGGAGGCGTTTCTGTCACTGACAGATCCACAAATAAATACATTTAAATACGTTTTATTAGAGGCCTGGTCGTTTAGAGTAATGGAGACAAAGTGCGCCTCACAACCAGACAGCTCGTGAGACATGTTTCATTCTGTTCATGTCTCAAATAAAATGCAGCCAACGGAGAAAATGTTTGTCAGATTTTACGCACACTTGCGCACCACGATTCTCCAAACACAGTCAAACAGACAGATCAATGTATGGTTTGATTTGAACACATTAACTGTCAAGGTTACAGAATTTGCGTCATGGCTCATTTTTTTAGGCAGAAACACATTTGTGATGCACAATGATGACACGTCCTAAATCATAGTAGATTATGTTTCAGATACATTTTGGGTATATGTATTAATTTATTACCCACTTTTAAATTCATCACCACATCACAGCCGACAACATTAAAAGGCGCTTAAAAAGATTGTGTCATAAGACAATTGATATGTCGGTATGCGTTGTGGTGATAGGTATAGAGGAAATAATGGTCATCTCTCTCTCTCTCTCTCTCTCTCTCTCTCTCTCTCTCTCTCTCTCT